AAAAAACTCAAACCCTAAAAATTTTCTTTCAAGAAAACTCAACAATAACCTCAAAAGATTGAAGGAATACATACCCCAAGGCTTCCTCTTGCTTTTCCTAAGGAAATCTCGCCGGAAAAGCCGCCGGCCGCCTCTTGGAAGGAGCTCCCGCCGCTTCCTCCTCTCTCCCGTCGCCCTCTCTCTTCGGTCGGCCGAAAGAAATGACAAGGGACCGAATGAATCGGTCCCTAGGCGGTTGTGGGCTTAAGGAAAAAATTTTAAAGGCTTAAGACGCATGTGCCCTTCTCCCTAAAGTTTTTCTTAAAGGCTCTAAGGGTAAAATCGGAAGTTTACCAAAAATTTTACTTAAACTATCTTCGTTGATTTTTAATTCTCAAACTGAGCAAAATTTGGTATGGGTTCTTTATACCGTTTCGATCGAAATTTCGAAACGAATCTAATGAAACTTATTTCGTCAATTTCCGACGATATCGGAATTTCACTTAAGTTCGTCGCGGCGCATTGATATGCGTGCGACGCACTCAAATGACGAATTTCGGGTTTTACATCCTTCAACATTTAAATGCCTTAAGTTGAGTGTTCTTAGGCTTGTTGAATTTTTCTCATCGAGGCGTTCTTTTTAACTATAAGCACGTAAGATTTATTTGGCCCTTTAATTAATGTCATTAAGTTTTCAAGTATATTTCAAGTGCTTAATTTGGATGCATTTGGACTTGAATCGAAACATTTAGAGTTGTTGGAGTCATCTCATCAAAATGTTTGATTTGACTATATAAGTCTGCTAAGATAGGGGTTCAGATAGTTTTGAATTTAATTTTGAAAGTTTTCATTTCAAATATCACATCAAAATTTGTGCTTGATCAAATAATTTTTGGATGATACGTCATTATTTTCATATGTCAAAATCTATGTCATTCAAAAAAAAATTTTAAGGCGTAAAATTTCAATTTTGAAAAATTGTGAAATATGACCACTTCTTAGACATCAACACGTGGATCTCCCATTAAAGTCATGAACTAAGTCAAAATCTCCTCAGTATAATATCAATGTTTTTTGAAGTTGGTGCATCAATTAGAGTAAGAAATTCCAAAATTTTCAAAGAGGATACAAAAATTAGAGAAGCATTTTGATATCAATATTTAGGAATAAAGGTATCGTTCAATGTTGGGAAATTTAGAGGAATCAAAATTATGGTTTATATAATCAAGCTATGGGAGCGATTAATGAAACTCATACTAAGAAAAACTTCAGTTTAGGAGAATCAATTTGATTTCATGCCAATAAATTACTATAAAATCAATTTTCATGTTTAGACAATTATCAGAGAAGTATAGAGCACAAAAGGATCTTCGAATGATTTTTATTGATTTTGAGAAGGATTATGATTAAGTACCATATGAATTGATTTGTTGTGTTTTATGGCAGAATTAATAAAACATGCAATAAAGCATGTTTCCGTATACATTCTTTATAATATTCATGATCAATACAATAAAATATGAATTTGATCTTGACCCTATATGTAAATCTGCTATAATTCAAAACTCTTGTAGCCACTTCATAAATACTTCTATTTTTAATCAATTCTCCATCATACATGTATTTAATATATCAGCCAACTTAAGAAATCCTCGTTATTCTCTTCAAGAATCTGCATCTATTGCTCCCTCACCCTTTCACCCTCTCCATTAAATAGGTTGTTTCTTCTTCCAATGCTGACAGCTTTAACATGGCCTATATAATTGTCGTTCCCAAATGCTTTACTAGTGATGTTGTCATTCTCGCTTGGAAAAGCCGTCCTAATAAGTTGGATTAACCCTCATTTGCTTGGTGACTTGATCCATTTAGATTTATCCTGGTCAGATTCCCAGTAGTGTTGACTTATTAATCTGCAACTGACTCATTGTCAGGCTAGTATTAATCTTCTGCGTAGAAATGGTAGGTGAGAGTTCTGATGTACTTGAATTGTTATTTTTCTTTCTGGTGTTTGTTAGCTTTATGAGCGTATTTAAGAAGTCGGTCAAATTTGAACTAAGGCTTCGTTTGAGATAGCTTTCTTACTACTTCTTAAAGCAGTTTTTTAGTAAAAAAATTGATATTTGTACTAAAAAGTTGCTTTAAGAAGCTGTAAAAAGTCGTTCCAAACGAAGCTTAAATTATTGTCTTTTTTGCATATTAGTCATAACTGGCAGTTACATTCGCTTTTATATAACAACTGAACGTAACAGGTGGTTAACTTTCTGTACTAGAGTGCTTCTTTGGTGCTATTAAATAACATTTTTTCTCTGCATAGAGGCACCATAGAAGCCATTTACTCTGTTAACTGAACTAATAAATGTGATAATATTCTCAGTAATGCTATTTTTCTATCAACAGGAAGAGTTGGACAAGAAGCGGAGGACACTTGCAGGTATTTAATGGGAAAATTTGGCTTAGGATATCCGATCAAATTTTAAGTTAGATTGAGTCTATACGCCTTTATATTTATTTTAATATTAGTGCAATATAAATTTTGATTGATTTATCAGTTATTTCACTCTTCTCATAGCAAATCTAAAAGCTGGAGACCTATCCTATTTTGATCAGGATATCTGACCTAAAATTTTGCTATTACTCTTCATCTTGCTCAACATTCTTGTTATAGACATGCTCAATGGCTTACAATTCTGCCTTCCATTGTAGATACAAAATCGTCATCAGATGGGTTCAATCAACGAATGCAGGAAGTTGCTTGCCCAACCTGTACAGTCCTCCTCCAGGTCATGTGATGCACATTTGATCCAAATATAAATGGATTTTTTCCTTATATCCAAAGTAAATTTTTTGCTTTTTTGCAGGTTCAGGTTCCCACCTCTGGTTCAGAAACTATAGAGTGTGGTGTTTGCCAGCATCCCTTCCTTGTCAGCGCAAATTAATCACCTGATTGTAAAGAAAAATTATTCTGTGCGGACACCGAATGTCATTCGGAAATCAACCATAATGCACCATGTCACCCCTTCGCTCGGTACCACGGCTCGGTACTGCTCGGTACCGTTGATATGGCTGCACCTTATTCGCCTCGGGATATAGTGCTACGTATGGCGTCCGCACAGAATAATTTCTTGATTGTAAGATACTCAGTTCTGTGTTATTATGTTTTCAGTAACATATGGTTTTCTTTTTAATTCCAGTTGTTTCAATGCTTTGTGTATAACTATATCTATGCTTCTCATAAGGTGATGTATGGAATAATCTGTCTGCCAGTTTGTCTTAGGCATCGTTTGGGATGGCTTTTTTACTGCTTTAAGAAGCTGTAAAAAAGCTGTCCCAAACGAAACCTTAGTGAACTGTTTTCATTGTAGCCAATTGAAAGTAGCAAATGCGAAATGTATTTTTGGAAGGATAAATCATGTTTGCATCATCTCCATCTGCTATAAAACAATGCCATGCTAGTCTTTGATGTCCTTTTATTTCTTATAAAGTTTTTAGATGAAGAAATGTTCTTACATATTAATTGTAGAAAGGAAAAAAGGAAGATGATAATCCCTTTGTTTATTGGTGGAAGGTATTCATAGAATTGATGCATGTGTAAATTTTTTAGCTGGGAAAGTGGTAAACAATCAAATTAGATTTTGTTTGGGACGGCTTTGCTAGTGCTTTCTATAGCAGCTTTCTAGTAACTTAAAAAAAAAAGCTGTTTGAGAAAGTACTAAAAAAGTTGTCCCAAACGAAACCTTAACATGATGTTTATGCATTTCTATATGTTGAAATATAAAAGGATAAAGTTCATTGCAGTTGGTTTTCTATTTATTCTTTGTAGTCTTTACTCAACATGCTGGAGTGTTCTTTTCATTTTTTGTAAAATTTTTAATTAAGATAAAAAGTTTCAATTAAGATTAGATGATAGATTTCCATATTTGATTTGAACAAATCAACTCGAATGATGTTGATATGCATATTTGATATGAATTTATTTATTTATTTATTTATTTTGTAGCTTTTATCAAACTTTATTTGCTATGCCTTTTAACTTGGTGTGAATGATGTGTGGTAGACTATTCTTAAGCTTGGAGAAGCCAATTATTGCATAGGCCTTTTTTTATTTCATAATTTTTTAAAAGAGGATTTAAATTTTAAAAAAGCATAATATAAATAAAAAATAATATAAAATATTTAATATTTATGCAGTAATTATTTAATATTATTCAGAATATTATATATTAAATTATGGTATAAATTTTTTATTTTCATCCATATCTCTTGCGGCCCCTTACCACATCATCCACTCAGAACAAAGCCGTCCGACACGTTTCCGTTAATTAACCACCACACCCCACCCATTCTACACTCACCCTCACACCCGCTCTTTCCTGCTTCAATAACAGCCCACCATCTGTCCATCTTGACACGTGGCATTACGAAACATAAGTGAATACTCTTGGTTGGGTGAAATACACAGTGCCACTTCTCGTTTTCATAATTTACAACATTGGCCTTCCACGTGGAATCCTCCGCCACGCGTCGAATGGTAGAATTCCATGTGGCCTTCCACGAATGGGCTGAGCATGTACATATAAGGAAGGTAATTTTAACGATAAGCTTACCTCACTTCCTCTTTTCTGCTTTCTGATCTGTTTGGGAACTCAGATGGGCGTTTTAACTTATCTCTCAGAACTCTATTCTGACTTTACTGATAGCCTTAACAACAAGAAGGAAAAGAAGCAATTTCAGGTGATTTTGAATGAGTTTGATTGTTCTTATGATTTTGGTCCTTTCTCTCTTGTTTTGATCATATAGATGCTTTGGTTGAGATTACATTGATGATTACTGTATAAATGCATGCAGATGGTGGAGATAAAGATAAGACTTGATTGCGAGGGTTGCGAGAAGAGAGCGCGTCACTCGGTTAAAGGAATGAAGGGTGTAACTAAAGTGGAAGTCGAAGCAAAAGAAAGTAAGCTGACAGTATATGGTTTCGTTGACCCTAAGAAAGTGTTGAAGAGGGTGAGACGAAAAACTAAGAAGGCGGCGGTGATGTGGCCATACGTAAAGCATGATTTGGTGTATCATCCATATATTGCTGGTGCATATGATAAGAAGGCGCCGCCAGGTTATGTTCGTAATGTCAACGATGATCCTAACATTGGACAACTCGCACGCGCTTCCTCGCTTGAGGAGAGATATGCGACTGCTTTCAGTGACGAGAATCCTAATTCTTGTAATGTTATGTGAAATGAAGGATTTTTATTTTGGTGTAGGATTTTGAAATTAGTGATGCTTTTTTAATGTTGGTTTGTAAAGTTTTTTGTAGGATGGAAATCATTGGATATATATAAGGTGTTTATTAACTGATGTTCTTCTTCTTTATACTCCTAGTATTGATAAAATTTTATTATTATTATTTATTTTCACACTTGCAGTAAGAAATGGTGACTTCAAAATGGTACAAACTATTGATAGGATAGGGATAAACAACCATTTCAAAGATGTTGTTGACTTCAAAATTAGGAGGTATAAGCAAGCGAAATAGAATAATAGAGAAGGTAGTTATTTTAATTCATTTATTTAAGCTCTAATACTTCTTAATTAAGAGTATTTATAGAATTCTAAATATTCCCTATCAATTAACCTCTAATACATGCTATTTATTGGACTAATATGACACAATGACTTGTTAATTTTCAATTCTAAATATCTCATAACAATCATTAACCTTATTATTACTTACCCCTTTAAAATTAATATTCCCCTCAAGTTTGGAGAAAGAAAACATAAATGAGATGCATGGTCAACAAAAAATGGGGCAATGGATATAAGATTAGCGGTGATTTGTAAGAACCCGTCAAGTCTAAAAATGGATCAAAAGATGGATTGGATGTGTTTATCATAATCTAAAGAGGCAAGATATGCTTAGGTTGGACGATAGCTAGGAGATATAGTAGATCGAGATGATATCTAATGTTGTAGAAGGGATTGTTGGCATGAGCGATAGGCTCAAGTTGTATTTTACAATGAGTGTCAACAAAAGACAATGAGGAGGGGGTCAACAAAAGATAATGAGATGGGGACCTGTGTGGGTTAGGAAGCTAACATTCAAGATGGGTGATTGAAATGTAATATTTATTATTATTATTGGCTATATGATGGTAGATTTGGGTTGAGATCTAGATGTATATGATTTCATGTATTGCGGATTCAACGAGGTGTCAATTATAAACGAGTGTCAATTATAAATTATGAAAGATAGATCATCCTACTGAAGGATCAACAAGATCACTATCGATACCAATCTATTGTTGGGCGAGGCCATAGACGAAAGGTTCAAGGACGACGCAAACCCACTCCAAATTTTAAGATGGGGGAGAAGAAGAAACCAAAATTTAGAAAGGATTAAGAAGAATGAACCAGAATAACCCTGCTTTAGACTATTTCATTTCCTTCTTTTTTGACTTCATACTTAATAATAAAGAGTATTTATAAACTTTTAAATACTTTTTATAACATATTTCATTGAGAACATGTTATTTCTAAAATTTATAATTTTGATATGTGCAATAAATAATTTTGATGATGATCTCACTCTCACTTATTTATTTATTATTTGCAAAGGTATGAATTTGCATAAAAATGATGGAAATATAATAACTTAATCAATATTATTATTATTTTTTATATTTATTAATGTGCACTTGACAAGTGTTGATGTTTTTTATAAGAGTCTAATTATAAAATTTTGAAGATAAGAGACTTATCATTGAGCAACATGTCATGAATTACAGCTTTGTCATTCTTTCAGGGAGTTTGCAAGGAAAACCCAAACTAGTTAGAATCCTAATTCATCGCAGCTAACTTTAGTTTGTTGGTTGGGAGCTTTGGTTATCAACAAAGAGGTCTTGAGTTCGAGTCTTACATATGTGATGTGTGTGTAAGTTTGTCTTATTTAGCATAAAACTTTGTTTGGGGAAGCTTTCTTAATGTTTTCTAAAGCAGCTTTCTAGTATAAAAATTTTTAGTTCAAAATTTTTTATGTACTGGAAAGCTGATTTAGAAAGCAGTAAAATAGTCATCAAATGAAACCTAAATTTTTATTTTTTTTAACTTATGCCATACATCTTTGTAATCACTTTATTTCATATATAAAAATAATTATAACTTTGGTGTTAGTTGATTAAATTGGAATAGCATACATGATTGATTTCATGAATAACATTGTGCTTAACTAGCCATAGACTCACTCACTTGCTTCATTATTTAATCAACAATTAAGTTCACTTTTGTGGGTTGTTTTTATTTGTAATTTTAAATTGGTAATATGTTTAGCTTTCAATGACATTATTTATGAAAGTTTAAATTACTTTAAGAAAATAAAAAAAAAATCAATTCAACACTCTTTACATGCCATTTAATTATCATTATTAGTACTAAAAAATTATAGTAATGGCGAGGGAGTATAATATATTAGTTATGTATAAAAATCTAGCATACGCAAATAGAAATTATAAAAGATACCACAAATTTTTATCTAAAAAATTCAATATGCAGAAAAAATGGTAGAATCTAGCCCTAATTTCATTAGTTGTTCTTCTACGCAATTAAAGAAGATGGAGTTAAAGAATTGAAAATAATCATCATTTTTCATTGTAAGGATTACAAAAGGTGTAATTGAATATGAAGATGATTATAAAATGTCAATTAATCAATGACAATGTAATAAATGTTGAGTGTCCATAGTCGGATAGTTGATGAGAAATGTTGTGGTTTGATGTCATTAGTTAGGTGGCGGTGATTATGGTTGCTTAAGATCTCCGACGATACGATAGAGTTCTTAAGATATCCCGTCTCTCCAACCTCCAAGTAAAAAAAATGAAGTCTTACTTATAGGTTTTTTTAGAAGTGTATTTTGATAAAATGACCATAAATCAAAAATACTCTATTGAATGGCTCGCATTTATTCCATTGATCATAGATCATTATTCTGCATGTGACTACCTTAAAATTTGTGCTAATTAAGTTGATTTTTTGGGACATACCAATTGTTATAGACTTTGAGAATGTATTTGTTCTAAGACACTTAATCATTTATGTTTGATACATCATCAATATTCGCCTTGATCAAACAAGAATCTTAAGACATATTCAAGTTGAAAACTTCCAAAATTAAATTTGAGACCATCCAAACTCAAATTACAGCAAGCATATAGTCAAATTGAATGTCCGGACAAGATGAACCGAAAAACATCAAATTTGGTCGAATTCGGGCCCAAATCACTAGGTTGAAGCATATTTAAAAGCTCCAAAGTATTAATTGAATGACCAAATGATATTCAAATATAGCATGCTAATATTTGAATCGAGTGACTTGAAGAAATAAATCTAAAAAACCCAAGACGAAACGAATCCAAAATCCCAATATTGCTTAATTCTAACATCAATAAGGAACTAAAACGTTGAATGAACGCTCTATGATCAAAGGAATCAATATGGATAATCTGATGGGACAATTCAATTTTTTCCTGGATCTTCTTCATATTTATGGAGCATATTAATCTCAATATCTATAAATAAACCCTCACTATCAACATAAAGGAGGCATTTGGAGGCTTAGACCCTGAGCTAGATAATTAAGAGAGCTCTGAAACTCAAAGAACCTTAGAGCTTCGCTGTCGGTGTATCCTCGCCGCTTGGCCATCGCTACTGGACATCCACCCAACTATCACCATCGAACCTCCATCATCTGTCAACTACAATCCCTCTAACCTCAATTTCTAGACTACGGTCCCTCCGATTTTCGTCCCCTGACTACGATCCCTCCAACCTTTGTCTCCCGACTACTGTCCCTCTGATCATAGTCTCCATCTAACTATAGTCCCTCCGACCTCCGTCGCTCAACAATAGTCCCTCCAATTTATGTCAATCGACAATTGTCCCCTCGACCTGCCACCTGACCGCAATACATCTGATCTCTGTTGCCCGACTATGATCCTTCCGACCTCTATCACTCGTTGACTAACAACCATTCAACCTTTATCACCTGCTGACTACGGTCACTCCAATCTCTATCACCCGACAAAGGTCCCTTTGACCCAAGCACCCAACTACCGTCCCTTCGGCTTCCGCTGCTTGACTATGATCCCTCCAACCTCTATTACCCAACAACGGTCCCCTCGATCTTAGTGGCTCGACTATGGTCCCTCTAACTTTCATCGCCTATGGTCCCTCTAACCTCAATCACCCGTCCTTTCGATCTCAATCACCCAACTATGATCCCTCTAACCTTCGTTGCCACCCGACTATGGTCCCTTCGACCACAAACACCCGCCGTCTAAGGTCCAATCGATCTCAGCCGCCCAGCAATAGTCCATCCAACCTCTATTAACCAACAATGTTCTCTTTGGCCTCTTTTTCCCTTCGACCCCTATTGCCTGACTATGACTCCTCTGACATCTGTTGCCTAACTACGGTCCATCCGGCCAAAATCGTCCGACCACAAAGATGAACATAACAACGTTCTCTTGAGAGCAATTCTCATGTCATGGGATTCTTTCAACTCCAACAATGTAACATGCTCTACATGATATATATTTACATGTTGTGTCAACACCTTCCCCTGAAGAAGAGCATCCTTCGTAACTAATAACAAAAACTAGCGGAATCATTTTAACTAGGCGATGCTCTGTAGTTTTCCACTTTTCATGATTTCCACGTAAAAAATTTAGTCTCTTATGACTCTTACAGTTCTCTCTCTCTTATATGTATGTGTGATAAATCTTCGTACAAAATTAGAATGTTAAATCATATATCTCTCTACCGCCGTGAATGTTATGACATGTTGAAAATATTATTTTCCTTGTCTAAACATTTTTCTTATTTATTGCCCATTATTCTCAAAATTGTCATTTATAATTTTATATATATCTTATAAAATGAAATGTCATTAAGTTACTCAAGGTGCTGGAGACCTTGGTCGAATTATTCACTCAAGGTTTATTCAACTCTATGCCTCTATGATAATTCCATCTGCCTTCTCCTTCACGGCTAATAATTTCTCTTGCTCTCCATGTCCCCTGTTCTACCCTCTCCTTCTCCCGCCGCCACCTTCCCGCCAGCGGATCATGGCGGCGGCTGATTCCGACTGCGCTTGCACAGACGCAACAATAACCGGCGGCTACCCGAGCCCAATATCCCCACCGTATCCGGAACTGTCGAAGGAGGTGGAGCTCCACCGCGCAATGTCGGCGGAAACTAGGTCCGGGGCATACGCTATTTCCTCAAAAGATATCATCTTTGAGGACGAATGGCTCGTGGTCGTCAACAAACCCTCGGGGATCTATTGCGAAACGCTGCTCTCCTCTCTTTCATCTTGTTCAAGTAAGTGGATTTTTTTCCCCCGATCTGCAATATCCCTTTATTTCCCTCCTTGAAATGCTATTTACGTCCTTAATTCGATGTGGAGGTGTGCTTAAACTTTTAAAGTGTTATGGTGTTGCTTCCGAATTTCCATCTTGCAAATTCTGAAGGCTAGAATTGGTGGAGAGGAATGACCTTTTGTTTGTATTCCTTGAAGAGGGTGATAGATGCGTGAAATCGAGCTTATTCAAACTAAGATTTGTCTGAAAAATATGTAGTGTGTTGGGTTTGAGAAGTATATTACTTTTACTGAAAGCTCGATGATGTAGAAACTCTGATCATCACCATAGACCATCAACATCATAGCATCATCACTCAGCTGGAGTGAATGGAGAGAACAAGCATTCATAAAATTGATCCCAAATAGTGGGTTAGTGCCAATGATGCCGTTGATGTTGATGAAGAAAAGTATAGCTCATTGGTGACTTAATATAGTGCTTTGTGCACTACGACTCTTCTGACCTCTGCCATATAGATTCTTGGTGCACCTAGCGTATGTTCTCAAGATCTCGAGAAATAATTCAATGTGGACGCGAATGCCATTAGGAGACCAAACTAGAATGTGAGTCGGTAACGCGGCTCGGTACTGCTCGGAACCGCTTTGTATCACAGCTCGCGCTCGATATTGTTGACGTGGCTCATTCTGATTGGTCTTGAATGTAGAGCCGCGCTCGGCATCCACACAAAATAATTTCTCCAGGATCTCAGGATTACTAGAGATTTGGTCGAAACAAGAGTCTCTTAACGGTGGAGGTCCAAGGAAGAAGACCGTTTGCGTAACTATGTTGCTATAAATGTGAAAAATATGGGATAGAGAAGCAAGAAGCAGAGCAATAAATTTTGTAACAATGGAAGGAGTGAGAAAAGAGGGCCAACCTGAATAGGCAAGCTGCTACTTTGGCAGGCTTTTTACTATCGACAAGCAATTACAAAGGCAGGGATTCTATTGTTAGGAACTGATCGGTGCTTAACTTTAACATAATGAAATAACACTGTTTGCTGATCTCTATTGCTATAAAAGAAGTGGTCTGTGCTCTAATGATATTCTTATTCTTAAGTATTTTGGTCGACTTTATTAATCTTCATTTTTAATCATTCATTTTTGTTGATGGTTTGATGATGTATTAAATCTATTTTTCGTAAGTCTTTTTAACAATTTATATCCATATTACCTTAGTCTACTTGATTTCATCTACCATTAGATTAAACATTGGCAACTTAATTGATCCATGATAAAATTTATCTTTAAACCTTTATATGATATCAGTAGAAAATCATATCTTATCTGTCAGGAGTTTCTCACCAAAGAGATCTGTCTGCTTGCATTTAGTAGGAGTAATTTGCTAACCTTCTTATACTTTCTTGCAGGAACATCAGCCTTGCAATCAAATCTTCATCTAGCTAACAGATTGGACAGAGATACCAGTGGACTAATGGTTATAACCAAATCAAACAAAGTTGCTGCTAAGTTGGTAAAAGCATTCACTGATCACAAGGTGAAGAAAACATACCTTGCATTTTGTGTTGGAAATGCTCCAGTTTGGGAGAAGATCAAGGTAAGTTCAGGTCATGGAAGGTCCAAATTTGGAGCTTGGCGAGTTTACTCTGCATCAGATGTTGGTAAAGTCCTTCCAGGAGGATCTCTTGTGAAATCCATGGCCACTTCCTTTGAAGTCCTCTCTATAAACAGACAAGGAAAGTTTAGAGGGCCAAACAAGCACAATATGGATGAATTGAAATCTGTAATAGTTCAGGAGAATGGAATTGAGGGCAATGAGACTGATGAAATTTTAGTCAGAGCTTATCCTGAGAGTGGGAGAACTCATCAGATTCGCTTGCATTGCCAGCATCTTGGTTTTTCAATAAGAGGTGATGTGAAGTATGGAGGTGTTCATGAGTGGAAAGGGATGGATTGTGACTTCCATGCTTTGCATGCAGAGAGTCTTTCATTTGAACATCCTATTACTGGTTTGCTTGTCTTTCTTGTTGCCCCTTGTCCTTCATGGGTTAGTGAAGCTTGTTTTACAACATCGGATGGTTATGAATGAGTTTAGCTTTATATGAACTATTTTATACTTGGTTTATGATTTGTTGTCTTTCATTTGTTTCTATTGAGGCTTAAAATGATTTTTAATAAATTATAAGGCAGTTTAATTATTTATAAATTAGTATTTAGATTGTGTTGAATGATGACTTGTTGAAACTGGATGTCATTTCTTGCAAAATCTTCTAAATTATTTTGCAAAACATTCGTAAATATTTTTTGATGTATTTGCACATAGAACAGCTACCAGGTTGACATAATCATGTCTGCAAACCAGAAATTTTTTTTATAAAATTATTATTTAGATTGTGCTGATGGTTGTCTCATCAAAACTGGAGGTGGTATCTTGCAAAATCTTCCATATCGGAAATATTTCTGTGTTTGCACATAGAACAGCTACCTTCAAACCAGAAAAAATTTCATGAAAATTTTAGTTTGATTTCAGAGGTTAAGGTTTCATTTGGGACCGTTTTTTTTTTCTGCTTTTTAAAGCAGCTTTTTAGTGCAAAAAAGAAAATTTTGTGCTAAAAAGTTGATTTGAAAAGCAATAAGAAAGCCGTCGTCCCAAACAAAGCCTAACTCTATGCCATGACATAATTATTGCAGGTGGTTGATATGGAAAGCTAGCTGAAGTGCAAAATTTTTTTATCAATTTGGGCTGCCACACCGGCAGCAGTTGCCATCTTGCTATTAGGCAAAAGATGGAACCCAAGGAGAGACCGTGGTTTTGTTTGGAATAGCTTTCTTATTATTTTTTAAAATAGTTTTTTAGTATAAAATTTTTTAATTCAAATTTTTTTTGTACTAAATAGCTGATTTAGAAAGTAGTAAGAAAATTGTCTCAAACAAAAATTGATTCATTTAGATAGACATGACGGTCCAACTCCATCTATTACTAAAATCTAAGTAGTTGATCTACTTCATTTTCTTATGGTACAACCCTCGTCATCTGATGTTTTTTTTCCGTCAGGTTACCTGATGTAGCTCTACGACAGATAGCCTATAATATATCGCCACATGCTCTTACTCTTTACCTTGCGGCCCGACGACCCGGCTCTGAATGTGTCATGCCCCAAGATCTAACTTGGAAAGAATGTCGATCAACCCAGCCATTTGCCAGAGTCATCTATAGTCTCCAATTAATAACAGTCTAATAAAAAGTCTATAAATTTAAAACATCCATATACAAGTCGATTCATATCTCAAAACATCATATACAATGAGCAATACGTATTGCTCGGTATTGGTCTTCACAGAATGGTATTTTTCTTTTTTGTCGAGCAAAATCGACCAATACCGAGCTACGCAAACTCCCGGGTCCATTTCGGGTCGGGTCGTCGGGCCGCGCGGTAAAGAGTAAGAGTACGTGGCGACATATTATAGGCTACCGGACGTAGAGCTACATCAGGTAACATGACGGATCGATGAACGACAAAAAAAATATAGGATTGATGCTAACAATTCATCACAGAAGAGAAAGACTCATTGAGCCAAAATCAATAACTTGTATAAAAATTAAGATTATAAGACTAATACAACTAAGCTAATTAGAAATAACTCTATTAATTAGATAATTGGAGTATTTAACAATTAGAATATAATAATATACAATTGTAAGGATACATAGAAAAGAGCATATTTTTTATATACATCTGTTGCTATTGTGGTGTTTATGTTATCAATTGGATCATATAGTTTTCAACACAAAATAAGTCATCGAAAGGATCTCCAGTGGCTAACCGAACACAATAGCCAGGATTGAGCTTACATTGATTTACCATTCAATTGTTATGTAATACACAACATAGTTTGAAGATAAGTTAAATTCAGAGAATTAGAGAGGAAAAAGGTTTAATTTTGTTATATAAAATTATTCCTATTTATAGATCTATACAATATGTCTTAATAAATAAATAAATAACCATAGAATCATACATAATTACCTTAATATCATGGGTGTCAATATTTGACCCGATCCGAATCCTCCACGAAAATTTTGGGTTCGGATTAGGGATTTCGACCCGTTTGTAAAATCGGGTAGGATTCAGGTTGACCCGGAAACCCGAAATCAACCCGGTTTGACCCTTTTTAATTAATTTAGGAGGATTTTAAATAATTTTTATGAAAATTGTAAATGATATTTCAAAAATTTATAAACATTGTTTCCCAAATTAAATTAATCTTGATTTATTTAAAATTAATTGAAATAAATCTTACCTTAATTTGATTTAGATTTAAATAAAAAAATTTAAGAAAATATACTCGAAGCGGGTCGGGTTCGGGTTTGAAAAACTGACCCGTTTGCAAAAAAGGGTCAGGTTGAACATGGTCGGGTCAATTTCGTGTTGGACCTGAACCTGACCCATGAACCGATTTTGACAGCCCTACTTAATATAATCCTTCCTAAATTAGCCACCCAAATATGGAAGGAGATCGGCATGATCCTGGGCCTCCCAAAGATTCTTATCCTGCTCGTGGGATCAAGGTTTAATGGACAAATGGGATTTAACATAGATCGACGTGATTTAGATGAGCCTCCCACGGATTTCTATCATGGCCGTGGGATTAAGTGTCAAGAGATGGCTAAGATTTTAACACTCCACCTCAAGCTGGAGAATACATATATGTCATTCCCAGCTTGGTAATTAGGTAAAAAAAGTAGAGTTATCAAGTCCCTTGGTGCACCATAGAGCCCTCCATTTGGTCAAAACTTTGGGAGAAATTAACTTCAAACATTGCAGTGGCAAAGGGTAACAATGAAGGCTATATTAAGCAACGCACCAATAAAGACTGCATTGGTTATAAATACGATAACAACCACAAGAGAAGACCTACAATGAAGGCACGACAGTACGAAAAAACTGTATTTAGGGTTGTGGCAAGCTTCAAGGACATCAAAATAAAAACATCTCTCAAGCGGCTCAACACTTTCCTCACATCTCCTCCCATCTGATCGAGCCAGCCTTCAGCCCAATGCAAATTAGTCGTTTGACTCCACTTGAACACTCATGTTCGATCAATTTGGTATATGCGGACGCAAGGCCTCTGATCCATATAGTCTGATATGAGGAAGGAATATAGATCTCGCACTATTGCTTGTCCTAGCCCTAGACCCGCACAAGAGGGAACCCTTGGCTTTTTCTAGACATATGCAAGAGGAGCCCTCCAACTCGATCTTTCCTCGGTCTTGGATGCACAAAGGAAGCAAAAGGACCAATATTCCTCGTAATTTCAGCAATGAAGGTTGGTGGTGGGAACATTTATTCTTTAGAATTCCAGCAATGAAGGCTAGTGGTGGGAACTTATATTCCTCAAAATTTCAGCAATGAAGGTCACTGGTGAGAACCTGTATTCCTCATAATTTCTATAATGAAGGCTAGTTGTGGGAACTTGTATTCCTCATAATTCTGGCAATGAAAGCCGATGGGGGAAACCTGTATTCCTCATAATTCTAACAATGAATGTCAATGATGAGACAGCAGGAAAGCCGATTAATTATTATTATAAATCCGCAAAATCGAAAGAAAACACGTACTTAAGAGGCTCCCATGTATGTTCGGCTTGGTTAGATCGCATGTACAACAACTCTTCAACTGTTTGTTTCTTGCTCGGTTCATCTCTAGCACAAGAATGAGGGTTGGCCATTCCGGCTCAAGCACACACGCTGCACACCCATGCAATTCCTGGTCGCTCCCTTTCTTGATCATCTTCTTTACTCAGTCTGACCACTAGGTAGGCACACATGAGACGTGTGCCTTCTCTAGCCGCATGCAGAAGACCGAAAGGGGAGGCCTTCTCATTTGCTCAGTTGCTTTGGACGTACATGAATATGAAGCAGAATGCAAGGACCGGCTTGTACTTGATCACACGCAACAGTGAGCACAATCCCGCTCAATAAACTCCCAGGAACACGCGCAGACTCTTTTGGCCACACGCTTCTCTCATCCCATTTGGTCGCATGCATGTGAGAGGGGTTTACGAGACATTAGTCTCTCTTGATCAAACATAGAGACCATGGGGTCTTGTTCGATTCCTCTAAACGAGACGCACTAGAAGTTTGTCTCTCTTGATCAAACAAATAGACTGCGATATGAAACAATCTCTCCTCTCGGTTAGACGTACGCAGGAATAAACAAGCTGGAATATGATACCTTTTGTATCTAAAGTGGGCCTTCCCTTCAGAAAGTTCGACAGTAAAAAAAATTCAGAATTCTGACCAAGGCAATGAAAGCTCTTATATCATGTTAAATTCAGAGAATTGGAGAGAGAAAAAGTTTAATTTTATTATATAAAAGCATCCTTATTTATAGATCTATACAAGATGTCTTAATAAAGAAATAAATAATTACAGAATCATATATAATTGCCTTAATATAATCCTTACAAAATTAGCCACCGAAATATGGAAGGAGATTAGGGTGATCCTGGCGAGCCTCCCACAGATTCTCATCCTGATCGTGCGATCAAGTTTTAATGGATGAATGAGATTTAATAGAGATCGGCGTGATTCAGATGAGCCTCCCACAGATGCCCATCCTGGCTGTGGGTTCAGGTGTCAAGGGACGAGTGGGATTTTAACAATAACAACCTACTATGGAACAGAATTATGTAGCCTAGCCCAACATGAGTAGATTTTATCTGCTTTTTTTCTTTTTCTGGTTCTATTTTTTGTTAAATTAATGAAATAATATGATTATTTTAAAAATTTCACCCCTGCTTAAGGGCAAGTAATACAACTCCTCTATAGTTTATACTTTTTTAGTAATATATCTAATCCTTTGATGTTCATTTCTCTGTGATTTGTTATTTATGTAACAGGGAAAGTTTGATAGCTAACATGAAAAGAGCATAAGTACTTTACTATTTAAGAAATAACTAATTTCATTTTGTAAAGAATTTGATAAATTTGGTTCAGTTAGTATTAGCTTTGATCTGCAAAAGTTATGGTTTTTATTTTGATTTTTGTTCCAGTTAATGTTAAAATAAATCTTTTTTTGCACATTCTCTAATTGTAAATTTTAGTTCCACCATAACTATGCATCTCTCATCAATTGATAAAACCAGTAAAAAAAAATCATGAAATAACAGTTTCAAATATATGTGAAGCTTGAATTTATATGCCTCACTATACTGAAAATTAAAAATTAAAGAAATATACTTGTTATTTATTTTTTAATAGAAATATTCCTGAAAATTCATTTCAGACGAAAATACCTCCAATACAGGGCAAATTATTACGTCCAACACTGGACACCAATCCAAATGCGCCACGTCACCAAAATACACCAGGCCCCGATGCATTTGGGTGATGTGGCGTGTCCGGATTGAATGTCCTGACGTCCGGTTAATAATTCGCCCCAATAAAGGTCTTATATATTGAAGTCTATCATAAATGAGTTTAATTTGAACTCTATTTGAACATTTATTTGAACCTCATCTAAACCAGTTCATGTCTGTCCTGAACATTGGTTTAGCTCACGCAAACGTTACGGTAAGTTCGTGTTGTGCGAACGCTTCTTGTTCATGGAGAAGACGATTTCGTGAAAAGAGCTCGTTGAGGGCAACAATGGGAATGATGGCATATAGAGAAAAAAATTTCATGACTGGAGCTTGAGGAGAGTATCAACCTGAGCAGTGAGGAGTGAAGAAGAAAAGAGTTTCATAACTAGAGCTCACTGAGGGCATCAATGAGAGCAGAGACTTGTGAAGGAGAATAGACATTCAAACCAAGTTCGAACAAATGTTCAAAGTTTTTGTTCAAACTAAGGCTTTGTCTGGGACAGCTTTCTTACTGCTTCTCAAAAGTAATTTTTTAGTATAAAATTTTTAATTTTTAAACTAAAAAGTTTTTTTAAGAAGCAATAAAAAAAATTGTTCCAAACGAAGCCTATGTCTAAACATTTAACGGTTCAAATCAGGTTCAAACAAAAATTCAAACTCAAAACCAATTTAAACCAATTTCATTTGTGGCGGTCTTCAATAAACAATCCACATATAGAAGGGCAATAATTTCACCTAAAATGAACTTTCAGGAAAATTTCTCCAAAAAAAAAAAACTATGGATATATTTCTTCTATTCGAATATTATTAGGATGCAAAGCCAAATCTCTCTTATGCATGTCATTAAAATCCACAATATTCAAGAATATTATTATCTTAAATGTAAAAAGCAGCAATTAAAAAAATGGCTATGTCCCAATTTTCTGCAATTGCAAGCTTCCAAAGCTAACTATATTACAAAACATTACAGAGACATACAATCTTCTCTTCACAGTCATGTATTTGCTAAAAGCTTCACTAGGGTTCTTCCTGAATTCTATTGAAATTAAATCACTACAAAATTTGATAAATACCTAGAAGACGATCTCTTCTTCCTCATTTCCAATGGGCAATGCTCCCCTTTCTGCTGTGTCTCTGAGCATTGCAGCAGTAGAATCATTGATTCCCAAAAGATATTGCAATCTGTCAAGCTTCTCTCTCTTAGGAATGCTCTTCAGATATACACAATATAGGTCGGCAAGCTCCTCAGGTGAAGACCAAGACAAGGGCTCGGAAGCTACTGCAGAGTCGCAGGCTAACATGTCATTCAGTGAAGCAACCTGCAAAATTTTAGGGGAAAAAAAAAGTTCAAGATCTTGAATTTTCTTCTTTTTTATTGAAAAGCTGCTGCAACATAAACAAGCTGAAGTGCTGCACTGGATAGCAATTTAGGCCAATCTATAGAATCTTTAATGAGTAGGATTCATTTGATAATCATTTTGTCGCATATAATTACAAGCTGCTTATAATCGGCCTTGAAACAAAATGAAAAACGTTTTGAAACTATGAAAGCCAAGCATAATACTAAGTTAAGTGTGGTAGAGATGAGGATGCTCAGGTGGATGAGTGGCTTTATCCTTAGAGATAGGATACGAAATGAGCATATACGTGAAAGGTTGGAGTAGCTCCAGTTGAAGATAAAAATAGAGAGAGTCGTCTTAGATGGTTTGGTCACATAAAATGGGGGCCGTCCGATAACCCGGTTAGGAAAGTAGAGGTATTAGATTTGACTTATGTTAAGAAGGGTAGAGGCAGACCTAAAAAGACTTGGTTAGAAAATATTAGAAATGATCTTTCTTTATTAGATTTAAACGAGAATTTGACTTTTAATATGGCACAATGGAGAAAAAGGATTCATGTAGCCGACCCCACGTAGTGAGATAAAGACTTGATGTTGTTGTTGTTGTTGCTGCTGAAACTATGAAAGCCAATGGCAGTTAATTCATAAAAACCCAAAAATTACTCGTTTTGTGTCATTTTCTTCACTGTCCAATCCAAACAGATCTGTTGAGAAAGTGTGGAAAAGTTTTTCCAAGTAAAATGTTCATATAACCTAAAATTGCCTTTGAGAAACTAAGCAAGAGAAAAACTGCACAAAAGAAACCCAGTTTAATAACATAGAAGTATCAACAGGAACAATCCTTTGTCATGGAGAAATAATATAAGAGAATAATTTCATGAATCAAAAAAGCTCATACCACTCCATCTCGATTCCTTTGTCGAAGCAAAGACACAGCCTGAACCAGTGAATTTGATAGCCTATGCTTGGCGATATCCTGAACAACTCCTTTGGCTTTCTCAGCATCTATATTAAGATCAGCTGGGATTTTCAAATAAACTTCCTCCTCATCAAATAGGCCTGTACCAGACGAAAAGATTTCCTCCACTGTTTTCTTGAATAGATTCTCACGCAAGCGCTCTGAGATCATGCTATCTAAATCAACACTAGCTTCTTTCAATTCCCGAACCTGCTGTATTCCAATCCTTCCTTGACTAACAGCTGTCTCAATTGCAGCAGCCATTTTTGTTGTTGTGATGTTCTTAATTACTTTCTGTGCATATTCTGCAGGCAGTCCAACCTGCTTTTGCACCTCATTTAGCTGCTCAATCTTAGATTTAGTCAACTGCCCATCTGCAAGAATCACCTCAGCCTGCTTCATGAATGCCTGTTCAGCCAAATTTCTGTGGACTTCCACTATTTCTTTGCCAGTCAATCCAAGTATTCCACCAAGCTGATTTAATAAGAGATACTCCGAGTTATCCTTCTTTGTGGTGATTTGAGCCCCAAAAGGAACAACAGTCACTTCTCCAGAAAGACAGAAGAGAAGATATGTCCTATAGAGGTCAGTTCTATCCCTTTCTGAGAGGTCATCCTTCAGATTAATTTCTGTTTGGCCTCCCTTTCCAAGCTTTGCTTCAAGGTCTTTGTTGGGCCTCGACTTTCTCAATGTCTGCAGTGACTCCAACTCATCTTCTTCCTCTGTTGGCTTAATCTCCACTTCAATAGGCTCTGCAGTAACGGGCTCTCCTTTAATGTCAGATATTAATTCAGTGACAACCAAGGTATTAAATGCTATCATCTTCTTAAGCTCCTTTGCAGCTTCAATTCGATTGCCAGCCCCTCTTGAGCGTTGCACATAATTTAGAAACACCTTGCGCACCTGCAAAAAGAGGGCACGTCTTTTATGAGAGATGAAGCATGATCGAGCCTTAACTTCATATCCCAGGCTTAAAACTATCATAAAGATTTAGGTTTTGTTTGAGACGGCTTTCTTCCTACTTCTTAAAGCTGTTTTTTAGTACAAAAATTAAAATTTGTATACTAGAAAGCCGCTTTAAGAAGCAGTAAGAAAGCCGTCCCAAACAAAGCCTTACTTAAAAATCTCAAAAATCTCACAAAAGGCATACATAGCATGAAACTCAGCTCATTAAAATTGTTCCGGGTGTCAAAAAATACATACCGCCTTGCTAGCAATAGCTATGGAAGCTTCCTTTGTTAGACGTAAACCCTGAGAAGCTTTTCTCACGGATGCCCTGATGTCAGCATCATAACCATCAACTCCTGATGCAATCGCATCTTTAACAACCTGGGTCATATGATTCAGCATTGTAATTTGTATCCAGGATTTGTGAAATAGAAATTAAGAGTAAATCCAAAATTCATATATTCATGAGAAAAATTCATATTATTGGAAGCGCACAGCTAACAGACGCAAAAAGGTTCATAGTTTTGGGTGGGCTAAGAAAGCAAGTGGAAATTGGAAGCTTGGGTAGAAATGGCTTGCACGCAGGCAGAAGCAGTTCTGCAAACCAGACTAGTTATCAAGGCATTAATGCTTTGATAGGAAACATTTGAAGATCTCAAGTAATTCCTATCAATCTTTAGAAAAACAGCGAAAATCCTCCACAAAAATCCACACAAAACCAAAAAAAAAGTAGAAAATTTGTATTATTTGATGAAATAGAAACGGAAAATAGCAAGACACAGTTGATCCTCAATTCGAGAGAAGGATCGATCTCTTCCAAATCTCTAGACGCCGCTAGAGCCCAAAAGAAAACTAAAATCTAAGAGATCTCCAATTTCAGCCAAATTCAAGATGCCCTAACCCTAGGAAAACAAACTATTTAATGCATGCAAATCAAAAGGAAATCCCTAAACAGTCCCTACATTCAAATTCCCTCCAAAACTCCCTTCAAAAATCCTTCCAAAACTGCTATATTGGCGCTTGCGATGCGATCTGAGTACAGGAGAGGTGGACGCTTCTGCCTCGGTTCAGCCTGATCGGTCCCGTGTGGCCTAGCCGGACCGGTCTAACACCCTTTCATAGAATTCATATTTTGCAACTACGTCTGAAATGAGATTATTATGATTCTGGTAAATGCACAAGACTAGAGCTTGTTGGAGATTGGAACTAGAACTAAGAACTACAATAGCAAGTTAAAGGTCTCATTCAGGCTTAATTACAAACTTTTTTATTCCCAGACCACTAGAATCAAACTAATCCTTCAAATGTAAGAGTATTTTTCAGCAAGCATAAATCGCAATAGATATATCAGAAGTGATTCATATGCTACATGTCATTGATACAAATAAATTAAACATTCATATATATACCTTCTCAAATAAACGGCCACAGATATCAGCATGTGCAGCATCAACAGTTTCTTGAGGAATACAGAGGAGAACTCTAATACGAAGAAGAGAAGAAACTTCCTCCTCACTAAGCTCACCGTCAGCCACAGAATGCTGCAGCTTTTGCCTATAAATTTCTGCAAAGAACATAAGAAAAAGATTATCAATCCATGTTTAGGACAGCTGGGTCTACAGGTTAAAAGGACCATCTACTATGGGGTCTACAGGTTAAAAGGACCATCTACTATGGCCCCAACTGAACTCGCACAAAAACAAATAGATTCACATGTTAAGCCACCTAAGCTTGGCATATATTTGGAACCAATCCATGAATTTTGATTGAGTGGAGTAATCAGTTGGAAAAGCATACCAAATTTGATAGGCAAGATCAGGTATTGAGTAAAACCAGAGTCATCTATACAACAAGAAACTATGCAGACCAATAATAAATCTAATGATTATTGAACTTGTAAGGAAGAATTTTATCAGAAATCAACGAACAATATAAAATAACACCGCATCCAAAGTTTCTAATACTACAGTCATCTTAGTAAGAAAGTGGAGTTCTCATTTATTTTCTTTGTAAGCTGTCGGGACCTGTGAGAAAAACTTAAAAACACCAGCCCATTTACCAGCTAGAATGTCTTTTGAGCATAAAAAGCTTCGGGGCTACAGATGAGCAGCGTTTACAGGAAACCAATTCACCTGATTTGATGGTCCTGATTATGGCTAACAATGGGTCATTTCTCACCATCATCATTCTTGTTCGAGATCATCTTAAGCGCTCAGATTGTATTTGATCACCGTAGATAAAAACATGCATTTCAAAAGCCTTCTGTGAAAGCAGCATGTTGACTAGGCCAAGTCAAGAGGAGGAATCAAATGCAATGCAGCAACAAATTGATAGGAAACTGATGCGGACATCGGCCATAAGATCTGGCGCATCTATCACAGGAGGCGTCGTAAATCGACGGCTCTAATTTAAGTTGTCATTTATGAATTATTTTCTGCATTTTAGTTTCTATTTTATGTTATTTCCTGTTTTACCCTTAGGTTAATTTATTTTAGTGTTGTAGCCTAAGGGGCAATTTTGTAATTTTTTTTATTTTCTCATGTTGTGGCCTATATATAGGGCCTTTAGCTATTGTAATAGGATGGTGAATGAATATGAAAATTTTGTGTTTTTTCACACTTGTGTTCTTCTTGAGAGAGGACAAGAGTGAGATTCCTATGGGAAGGAATCGAAGTTGTCACCAGCTGCAGGATGGGTCCGGGCTAGTGATTTGAGATCCCTTGGAGAGGGAAATTGTATCACCCACCAACCTTGGAGACGGCAGGGTTCGTGGTTTTATTTTATTTTATTTTTTTAATTTTGTTATCTTTTCATCCTCTCCTTGTCAACAACCCCATCCTTCACCCAAGCCACCGGCCACCTCTTCACTATCCCGCCGACCACCTCTTCCCAACCTTCCGGCCACCTCCCTACATCATCCCCTTCTCCTAGGCCGGCCCCACTCCCTTTGATTCCCTTATTTTGTTTCCTAATTTAGGTTGGGATCAATTGGAAATAATTTGAAATTCAAATTCATTCAAATTTGAATTCAAAATGTTTCCTAAATGAGTTCATCTATTTTAGGAAAGTATTTGATTTAGATCTATTTTGAATTTTAAAATCAAGAGGATTTAAATTAAATCTTTCCTAAATCTAAAATCATAAATTAGGAATCCTGATTTGCTCTCATTAAATCTCCTTTTCATCCTTTCATGGCCGGCCCCCTATATGAGTCAATTAGGAGTTATTTCCTAATTGTTTCATAACCTCTTTTCCAAAAAAAAAAGTTACAGATTCAAATTCCAAAGGATTTTCCATTTTTAATTCCCTGGCATTAATTAGATCCCAAGCAGTTACTCACCCATAGCCCCACCCAATATTTCCCTCTCAATTTGTGTCCTAACTCTCATACCAAACTTAGGAAATAATTTGAAATCACTTTAATTCCTCTTGACCAAAATTCACCACACCTGGGTTGAATTAATTTATTGCCTAAGTGATAATTTCACTTTTGGAAATAAATTATTTCTTCCTTTTCTCTCCTCTGCATTGCCGCCCCCACCTCCTTCACACCCGTCTCCCTCTCTCACCCGTCCCCTCTTCTCTCTACCCAAATCCAATCTTTCTCCTGTATTCCCCACACAAGTCCCAAACGTTTTTTTTTTCCCACTGTTTGATATCTCCTAAGCACAAAATCTGAGAGAAATCTCAGATTTTGAAAAGAAAATCTGAGAATTCCCAAATTCTTCCATCTTCCCTAGCAAAACATTTTCGTTCTACATCAGTTTTAAATCTGAAATTTTTTCAGATTTCCTGATAGGAATATTTTCTTAATTTCTTTCCTAATCAACAGGCTTTGATTGGAGGAATTAAGTTCAAATTTTCCCTCCCAAATTCAAAAGAAAATCCTCACAATCCCAAATTTATTTCTTCAAAATCTGAACTATTTCTCTTTCCTTCACATAAAAATAGTTCAGATTTCCCGTTCTACATCAGAAACACTCGAAGATCTCAAGTGAAACCTAACAATCTTGACAAAAATAGCTAGAACGATCAACCAATCCAAAGGAAAAACCATAAAACAATAATTTTTATTGGAATAATCAAACTAACGGAAGGAAAATAACAAGATACAATTGATCTCATATTCGAGAGAATGATCCATCTCTTTCAAATCTCTAGACGCCGCTAGAGCCCAAAAGAAACCTAAGAGATCCCAAATTTTAGCCAAATTCAAGATGTCCTAACCCTAGGAAAACAAACTATTTAATGCATATAAATCAAAAGGAAATCCCTATACGGTCTCTACATTCAAATTTCCCTCCTAACTTCCCCAAAAATCCTTCCTAAATCGCTTCGTTGGCTTTAGCGGCTTGGTCGCGCGTACAGGAAGAGGCAGAACACTTCCGCATGTTCTGCCAGAGCTGGTCCCATGCGGAGCGGTTGGATCGATCTAACAATACTCCCCTCCCAAAGTGCCACCTTGTCCTCAAGGTGGAACGAACGAAACGGCTATTGAAGCACTTTACTAATAGCACTGGACTGAAAAATTGACACTGGGTCGAGCGATCCCTTCTTCTAGCATCTCCCTAATCAATCTCTCGATCTCATCCTCCTAGATTTAGGGATGACAATACAGTTGAATAATGATAAGTGAAACTACTTCAAGATGATAACATGCTCATATCCCCGCGGAGAAGGCAACCCTTGAGGCTGAGAAAGCTCACTTAACTGCTGAATCAATGGTTGTACTGAAAGAGGACTATCCCCCCCCCAATCTATGTAGTTCCATCAAATAACCTTCCCCTACCTCCTGTATGCTCATCACATTGGTTTTAAGTGATATCATGGCTTAAGTGAGCCATGTATCTCCACTGATCACTACCCTCCTTCCATCCACCATAAACTCCATTGTCAATGCTCCCAAGTTGACCTTGGTATCCCCCAAGGTCTATAGTCACTTCATTCTGAGGAGGATATCAGTGCTCCCTAACTCCAATAGGAGAAAATCCTCCATCACCTAAACCCCTTGCATGGTTAACACTACTTCCTTACATAACCCCTAACCGATCTCCACCTTCCCTATACCCATCACCACTTCATAACACCATGTATCCACCAATGTTACCCCCTATTGGTCCACGACTTGGTTGGAGATGAAATTATAGGTAGCCCCACTGTCAATCAACACCACCACCTTCATGTCTGTTATTTCCCCCTTCATCTTCATGGTATGATTCGGAGTGAATCCCATCATTGAATTCAGGGAGATCTCCATCACGTCTAGATGAAGCTTGTCCTCCATCTCTCCCTCCCATACTCTCACCTCCCTCAGTTTCCTCGTCATCACAGACGGTGATAATCTGAAGAGTTCGATCCCTACACTTGTGTCCTGGAGTATACTTCTCATCACATCTGAAGCATAGTCCATTCGCCCTCTTCTCCTGCATCTTCCTCTTCATCAATCTTTTGAAGCCCCCCCCCCCCACTTTCTCCTCCTGTTGGATTCTCCCCTGGGAGTCTCATTAATGTTATCTGATGCAGGTCCCTTGGGTGCTAGAAGAGTGGTCGTCATCTTTTAAGAGTCCCTAAATTGCTGTTCTTGGCTCCCCTCTCATGATCCCTCTAATTTTCCACCAATTGTACTAACTCCATGGCTTCTACCAAGTCACGAGGCCTCAATACTTTTACTGCAACGCTGATCTCTGATTTGAGCCCTTATAGAAAGTTCTCTAATGTCGTCTCCGAGAATCACTCCACTCTACTAGCCAGATGCTCAAACCGCTCTCAGTAATCTGCCACTGATTTGTCCTATACCAACGTAAAGAATTGCTCATATAAGTCTCCTCCCCTGTCGGTTTGGAAGCATTCTAAAAAACATTCCTTGAATTCTCTCCAACTCCGGACGGGTCTCCTATGGTCCCTCCACCGATACCACGATAGTGCCTTCCCCACCAAACATAAGCATGTCTCTATTTGGGGAGAAAAAAGCATAGAGAGAGAGAGTGTGTGTGTGAGTGTGTAGGGTTGTATTGATTTTGTTGGTTTAGAATAGATGTGCATCCAGGCTGGGTGGAGCTCGATCGAACCAGCTAGAGTTGCATGCAGAGGAAAGCAGGAGAAGCTCAATGTAGTAGAGAGTGGTGGTCATGCATGTGCGAGCAGGGTGAGCTAGGTGCAAGGTGGAGCTTGGAGGAGGGTGCTCAGGTCTACATAATGAATGGTTAGGGGGTCTCATTAGCAATAGTCGTAGTAGATGGGCCGGTAGGCTGGTTTCACCAGCGGGTCAAGCTACTATTGAGGGTGGCTGAGGGTGACTGAAGAGCTGTGGGAGGAGAAGAGGTGTAGATGTGCGGCTTGCTCTCAACAGGGAGGTGCAGTAGGATGGGTTAAAGTCGAGTTCAGTGCAGGTGTTGTGCGAACAAGAGAGGTTTGTGTTTGTATGAGTGGGGTGCGGAGGTGCAGTTGGAGAGGTTGGAGGGAAGCAATGTGGAGCGGCAGCTAGGAAGGTCGAATCAAGTTGATGGGAGGTTGGAACAAGACCAAGTATTTTGAGAGTTAGGCAAGAACACCGTGCAGGTCAATAGGTAAAGGTTTTGTGGTTGGAAACAAGTGAGTGGAAAAGTGGAAAGAACGGGCTGGCGAGGGTTTGAGGGTTGTTGTAGATCGAGTGCACATGCAAGGGAAGGGGCGAACGTATGGGAGTGTCAAGTTTAAAGGCGAGGCGTGCATTAGTAGTATGTGTGAGGGTATTTTTCTTCGGTTTATTTTATTGTCTTTTTAGCTAGACTTGGGATGAGACGAGATAGAATGCCGAATTCGCAGGAGCGGTGATTGGTAAGGGATAAGGGAAGGGGATTTAGTCAAGATTTTAAATTATATATAATTCATATATATTTTAAATTATACATATATATAATTATAGAATTTATTATTAGTAATTTTATTCATACAACATAATATATATATATATATATAAACAAATCAAATCCTTGCACAATTTTTTGTGATTTGTGCATCTCAATTTTCATACCGTCCCCTCGCACACGAGAAAATTTTGAGTTTTCAACTTGTGTGACTATCTATGCTAAATGGGGGTGTCAATTCAAGATGATGTCAATGTTCCAAAAGCAACAACAGTTTGTTTCATGAATGGGAGACATTTGGTTGATGTCAAGCAATGTTGCATCCATAATATATCATTTCCAATCGTGGTCGCTCAAATCATGTGTGAGACTGCGAGTTGTTCTCCTACAATATATTTAACCTTTTGGATACAACAATGCAACCCGTTTCCCCATCTGGCAAAGTTTGGATGATTTGGGCGGCATCGTGCTCTCTACCGCCATACGTGTCAGAGTTCTTCTCAAGAAACAAGTTCAAGAAGAAATAATGCATCTACTCAATCCTTAATAAAGTGGATAGGGCCTATGGACAAAATGCACAAAAGTGATGCAAGAACTGCACCCAAGCACCTTGACAATGATTTAATCCAGTCTAAGCCAGAGGTAGAAATTGTGTGAGTGTTTAAACATGAACCAACGCAAGTTTTATACGTTATTGCTTCACCTCAGCCACATCAAAATATGCCACAAGATAACAAAAAAGAGTAATTTACTGCCCTCTTATGAAAAAATGTTAAGATCAAGTTTGTGTTGCATCCAACCACTTAAATATGCGAATGGGAGATTCTGGCAGACACTCTCGATTATGAATAGCTTTCACAACTTGGGCATCTACTTCACCAACACCTCCATCTCACGCATGCGTTGGTGTCTGTCTTAGGGATTTCAAAGTACAACCCGAAAGAAGCATGAATCACTTCCACCTCCACCATCATGGTAGAGAAGCCATAATCTTAGATGATATAAAGAGCTCACCTTTTTTTAAGGATGAAATTTGAATGCTTAGTGATGTAGAAAATTGTACTCCCTAGCAGGCATCCACATGGATCTTAATCTTCATCTCTATTTTCTGTTCTTTTCCTCTTTTTTTTTTCCATTAGTTTCTATAACACATTAACATTGGTCTGTCTTGAGAAACTTTAGAATTTTTTTTACGAGACTTTCGGGTACATTTAGTCGGAAGAATACGATTTCTTGTGCCCCAAACGGGTAACACTTTTATGGATTTTAGTTAGTGGACTGATTCCCCACTTTTCTCTAGTGGATGTAAGATATGAGGGAACCACATAAAAATTGAAATTATTTTGTGAATGATATCTAGAAAATTTTACTTTTTTAAAATTGACACTAATCTTAGTCAATATTTTGATATCTATCTATCATTTGTCCTGACAAATTAGTATCAATGTCAATAGTTCAACTAGGGCTCATGAGATGTACAAAATTGGTTCTTCGCATAATTCATTTAGTTAAGTGACATGGTTAATAGTTATTAGCATCATTATTTTAGTTTTTTTCTCTCTTTTTCTTCTTCTTCTTTTTTTGTTTCATAGCCTTTTCTTTTTTAGTAATTACTTGTTTTCTTTTTTGCTTGTGGATTTCTTATAAATATCTAAGACTTATTTGGGGAGTTTCTTTTTTCTTTTCTTGTGAATTTGTTTCAGCTTATTATCCTGAGAATAGGATAGATTTCCTAGTTTTAGTCGTGGAAGGTACAAGGAAATCATCGTGGAGTCCAAGAGTTTGTCAAAATTGATTGCCAAGATCTCCTATCTCTCCCTCGTGGTTGTCCCTTCCCTTTTGAGGTAGAATTTCCCTGCGGCTATGTGGCTTCAAGCTGTTTCTTGAGAAAGCAGAGCATGGCCTACAGTGTTGGACTGAATTCCAACAGGAAGGTACAGGTTCCATTGGGTGCCATTCTACATTTGCCATCTGTCGCGGGTTCAATCCAACAGTTTCGCTGGCCGCGTCTTGAACAAACAAGGCTTGGCCTGCAATTTAGGACAGAATTCCAACAGGCCGCTTGACTGAAAATTTTCCTTTGCAAACTTCCTTGGGTCCTCCAGCAGCTTCTCCTAGCCACAGAGAAAATAGTTGTAATCCCAGCGATCATCCATACCAGGTCCTCTGTTCTCATTGTCAATTCCAGTGGTTTTCATTTCTGTAAACAGCAAACTACCTTGAGGCTTTCTTGTTATGTCTTGCAGGTGAGGTTTCTTAAAAAAAGAAAACATTCTTAAGATCAACCCTTGAATCTTAATGATCCCTATTGTAACCTATCAGCAGTTTTGCTGTGGAAACCTGACCGACATGTTCAGATGGCTGTAGCAGGGGTAAATCATCCTTCCCATTTCCGATCAGGACCTACACTAATTAAGGGCTGCAGCTGATTTGTGGGAATATTGTTAGATTTCTTTTGTTTTTTTGCACACAATAGTGAGTCGGTATATTGTTAAGAGTCTTCCTTTGTGTTTTAATTATTCCGTTATTTTAAGTTGGAGTTGTTGGTGATTACATCACAACCGAGCTGAGATGTTCTTCCTTTTGTATTTCAAATTTTGTAAAAGTGGTGATAGTTAAAGAAATTTGTCCAACGTTGTCAGATCCTTTTAGTTCGGTGTTATTAAAAACTTTGATAGTTGGCAACAAAAGCATGGAATTATGTAACTACATCTAATTTTTGAGGGGGAGCCATTGTGGAGTGAGCTTTCTAGTGCATCTCTTGTGTATATCACTCAGCTAGGATCTTTGGAGATCTTTGAGTTAAAAAAACGGGATTGATGTGGAAACCTCCCGCAGGGGAAGATTTTTAAATACACAAACACACCCATATTGGATATAGTGTTAGTTGTTGACATGTAAAACAGCCGTACACGACATTGAGCTTATACACTTCATTTATGTGATGCATTTGAACTATATATACCTGTAAAATAATTAAGGTGTTGATCCCCAAATATTGGATCAAAAGTGACAAAGAATCAACAATAGAAACTAATAAATGACACAAAAAGGATTATGGAAGTCTGAAAACCCAGAACAATGCGCAGATAGAACAAGTAACTAGTAGCAAAATAAGTTCTTACCAGACTGGCATCACTGTGCCAGAAATATGCAAGGGTGATGGGAAAGAGAAATATGAGAAATAACATCAGTTTCTTGCACCAAAACGGAGCTTATGTGAACAAAGTTGCATACAAAACTTCATTATAAATTTTAATTTTGCATTAAAACTTAGATAAATAATTTGAATGTCTCATTAATTCATCCACAAGGCATACAATGAAGAACTGGTAATAAGTTGAATTTGTGTAAGAAGTGTGTAGATATGTGATTTTCAGTACTATTCATTGAGCTGAAGGCAGAAAGCAGAGCAGAAGTTGTTATGAAAATATCGCAGGTACCTTCATGTATCTCGCTAGCCTTTTGGGGATCAAAATGAAGTTCTTCACAAAGATTTTGAAGAAAGGCCGCTTTGCTTGAAGCTGCTTCCAAATCACCACTAGAAACAGCTTGAGATAGCCGCTTACGATAGACCTTAACAGTGATATCAAGCAATATTGCATCTGCTTCACGATTTCCTAAACCAAATATGTTCTTCAATTGGTTCAAAGCCACAAGCTGCAAAAACATCAACATGAATTAAGAAAGTCAATAATTAAATGGTTAAAATGAATGAAACTTAAAAGCCGTAGCTACACAAAAGGTATGTACGAAATCAACCGTGAAAAAGAGTGCTGGGTGTTCCACCATCCCACATATTTTTGTTTTTCTCATTTATCTTTTAAATTCCCTATTGCTATCATTTCTCCTCCATAGACTCAGAATACACATACAGTTTACTAAGATTACATAAAAGAGATAGCAATAACCTAACCAAGGGCAATCACTCAACCTGATACCAACTGTAACGAAAATGCCAAACTCTATTTGCATATAGCACTAAAGTACATAAAAAACAAACAAAATATCACTGCTGATGACTTGACTCACTATAACTTTATGAATGCTAGAAAAAAAAATCTTAAAAATGATGGCACGCCAATGATTAGTGTGCCTTCCTGTAAGCATTCTATTAAACACACACATCAAACTTCAAAATGCATATCAGCCAGAAGGAAAGCATTTCTAGGGTTGCTACGTTTGACGATGTTACAGGACCTCACAACATGGCTTCTGACATGATTGAACTGGTTTGAAAAGATTGGAACAAGCAAACTGAAACAAAGATGAAGGAATTCATCATCGTCCTCCTATTTAGGCCCAGAAGTCTGGAGTTATTTTCTGTTTTCATTCTGTCCTCCTATTTGCCCATTATGCCACCACGATTAATTGGATGCTATATAAATGCTGGATTTCACGAAGTGATGGTGGCCACCAAATAATGTCAAATAAAAATAAAGATTAAATTCCAAAATGATCCCTCAACTATTCACATGTGACCAATTTAATCCTATAGTATCACAATTCATAAATTTAGTCCCTCAGCTATATAAAATTGATCTGAAATGGTCTATCAAGTAGAAATTGTGATGTAAAATTAATCCAAATTTAAACCCTCGACAGTGCAAAATTCATCCAATTTAATTTTTGAGAGATTATTTTGAATCAATTTAGCATAATTGATAGAATAAATTGGAAAAATGTGATACTTTGAGCCTAAATTAGCCACATGTGAATGGTCAGAGAACATTTTGATATTTAACCCATAAAAAGAATGATGAAAGATTGCCAAATGGCCACAATTGCAACTCATCGTTCAAATGTAGAACAAGGATTAAAGGTTACAGCAAAATATGAAAGTCCCTGATAATAACAGTTCTTAAGCACCTATAAAAATTGAGTCCTGAGCTAAATGATAATGCTTTCAGCTGTTGATAATAAAATAACATCGAATTTGATCCATTTTTACATGGTTCGGTATTTTCAAACAACTGCACACCATAAAAAACAGAATTATTCACAATGCAGCATACTTGTGCTTATAAGTTTGACTTGTTCAGTATGTGTTTGTATTACATATTTTTATCAGCTTATAAAGTTCATTAATGGAAAACAAACACATCATCACAGAATTTATATAAACAAATAAATTGTAATGCAAAACACATAATAGATTTATATATTACCTTCTGTTCCTCAAGGCGTCCATTTGGAAAACATTCAGAAGCATATGCTCTAAAAAGCAATTTCAGATCATCAATTTTTCTGTCACTGTCAAATTCTCCACCTGGCGGTGCAGTTTTACATGCAAGCAAAACGCAGAGATAAGAAATGGCCAACCATCAATGGAAACGGCGCTCAACAATGCTGCAAATGGATGACTTACCTAATAAGGAAATTGGACCAACGCCAGGGACAAATCTACTAGACTCAGGATGTTTACTAAAGCGTGAAAGTAAATCATTTAACGCCAAAACCTTTTCAATCTCTTCCACAACTTGAGTGGTTCTTCTGCAATGACATTTAAAAAAAAGGTCAAATATATTTTTTGGGGAATTGTAAGCGATAAATTGCAAAGTAAATGGCTATAACCCATGACCTTAGAGATACAACCATCTCCTTCAACCAATGGGTCACGAGTACTTTCACAAAAAGTCAATTTTATATTAATAAAAATTGTAAAACATCCATGACCACTGAGCATCACATTATGCTTTAGCACAATAACAAAAGGAGGACATGAATTTGATGCTTTATAGATCATTATGGCCTGACCCCACATAGTGGGATAAAAGGCTTGTTGTTGTTGTCATAGTCTATATCATTATAGCAAAAGCTGGAGGTATTTGGTTGAAAGTATGCTTGATAAAAAATTAAATGGGAGGAGTGGCAGATACTCACCGAAATCTCATCAGTTTTTTTTTTTTTGCTTTAATCAATGTAGAAGCTATACAGGATTTGAAGACCTGTACTGAAAGCACCACTGCGCCTACAACTTCAATTCCTGTGGCATAATAATGCAAGGCCTCTATGATGCACGTGAGAAATTTTTTAATAAGCTTCATGATTCAATGCTATCCTCTGTCTTCATTTTGCTTCAGTTCTTCCATTAGCAGTATAGTTTCTGTTTCTTTGGTTCGTAGATTGCTCGAAATCAGCAATCTTCAATAACTTCAACATATGTTTGAAAAACGCCTCTTTTTTCTATGATCTAAACCAAATCAATTCTCTTGATAATCAATCATATGTCATATGAAGAACATCATTCTGCTCTCAACCTTTCGTTAATTGGATTAGCATAAATCATATTTATAAAAAATATTTTTAGAATAGAAATGAATTAGTTGTCTGATATTGATATGATTTTCTAAGTTTGTGTTCTATTGCCTCTCCAACAACTACTTTGAATGTATAGATTTGATTTCCCTATACTTACACAAATTTTCTAAAATATTGATACCAAAATATTTCTTCTCTAAACATCCATTTAGTCATCAAAATTCCACTAAAAAGATTGGTTAGATAACTCCAAAAAATTTAATATGTATCTCATTATTGACATCCTTAAAGTTCCACAAGTACAATATTGTATATAGCAACAACTTCAGCTCAATTGACTTTATATATAGCCCCAAGAGATTGTCCAAGTTGGCATACTAAAAAATGGCCACCCATGTAAAAGTTTGCTCCAAGTTGTTCAAAAGGCCAAAAAATCAACCTACATGGACTTAAATTGAACCTAGAGGCATATAACTACGCATGCTCAGTGTAACAACTCCACACTCAATAGCAATGATCCATGGGTCACGACTATAAAGCATGATCATGCCAGCAAGATTCCATGACCTTAACAAGACTTGCCAAACGTCTTGGCATGCATGAGGGTTCTCAACACAATAATAGCTTATTGGTGTTATTGGCCTCTCGTAAACACCTATACGCACGCACATATATGTATATAATTTTTGGATTAAATAAATTCTCCTGAAGTTCTATTCATGTTACTATTACATGATTTAATTCATTGCAAATATATTTACTAGGGGGTTGTTTGATTGCCTACAAAATGGGTGTAAAGTATTCCAAATGTAGGGATTTGAGTATATTAGTGTTTTGTTTGAAGTAAAACAAATGTAGTATCACATTTTGGTACATTTAGACTTCACCCTCTAGTTCTTTTTTTGGCGTATTTGGAATTCCTCGGAGTAACTTCCAAATACACTGGAAATTCATTGCAATTGCCACCACCTGACTGCATGACTACCTCCGCCAACCACCACTACGGCCACTACTACCCGACAGCCTGCCGCCGTCATTCAGTCACACCGCTGCCAATGTAGGCCATCAACCAGTTTTAGTAGAAATTGTTGTTAGAGTTTTTGTATATATTTTCCTATAAAAATCCTGACTTTGAGTGTTGTTGTGCGAGAAATTCCACTAAAAATGACTAAATTTGTGAAAAAGAACATAGTGCAACGGCGCTATCTTATTAAGCGTTGCAACGCTCCATGCACCACTCAAGCACCGCAGCGCCAGTCCAGAGCACCACAGCTCCTATGTTCCCAGAATTTTTCCTATTTAATTCAACACCCCAACATCATGTCACCAAGTGTCGTGGCGCCAAAATCGAGTGCTACATCAAATATACTCTTGGAAAAATTTAAACATTATTTAGCACCCCAGCACCTACGAGCTCTGCAGTGCCAATTTAAATACATGTCACAACACCAGGGCAGGCTGGCAACGCTGCAATGCCAAATCGCCACGACGCCACTGCAGATAAGTTGGAACGGTTCCTTAGTGAAATGTTGTGTTGGGTCAAACCAGCGCCATAGCAGAGACATGCAAGCAGCACTGTAGCGCCAACTTTACTAGCACTATGGAGCAAGTGACAGTTTATGTACTTAGTATAAATATATATTTTTTGTCGAATTTGTTAGGATTGGCCATTTGTGATGTAGGGGGGGGTCAATTCTTCTTGTTCCTTCTTGTCTATGGGCTGCTTGTTGTTTTCATTTTGGAGATATTGCTGCTCTCGGGTGGGCCTTGGTTGCTTGGTGTTGAGCTCAAAAAGTTGGATTTCACTTGGTGTTAGTTCATAAATGTTTGAGCTGAAGTTTAGCTCAATGATTGGGGAATAAATGCACTTCCTAGCTCATTAAATCAAAATGGTATGCTATTATTTCAAGCTCATTATTGTGGAGTGGACTTGTGTCTCTTCCCTTCCCTTTGTCTTTTCGGTTTCTGTTGGTTGTTGCTGTTCCCATGGCCTCCCTCTCGGTTTTCCCCTCCTGGCTATTTTTCCTGTGAAATGCTGCTTTGTCTCCTGTACTGGCCCTTCGGGTCCCTTGCTGGCTGGGCTTCCCGTGGCTGCTGGTGGGGTTTTCCGTGGTTTGTTTCCCTGTTTTCTGTGCAGAAATTCTTCTGGCTATTATGTGTCTTTTGGCCTTTCATTTCCCCAATTCTAATTGGATTTGGTTGGAAGTGCTATGGCTATTTATCTACCTTCTTTTGCCTATAAAATAGAGTTGTTTTTGGGATGAAAATGGTGGTTGAAATTATGAGCAAAGACTCTACAAAAATCTGAGGGTTTCTTCTCTTGGAAAAGCTTGAGAGCTTGTTTGATGTAGGCAAGGGGGGTCAAAATAAGTTGAGTTAACATTTTTGTAAGTTCTACTAGAGTCAGCTCATTAATGAGCCTCTTCTTATTATTCAGCTCATAATTTGTGTATTTATTACCAAAATTAGATTCATTCCCCCTCCTTTACTCCCCTCTCTAAAGACTCTTTGGTTTCCCCACTCATGTCTCTTCCCCTTCTTGAGTCTCTTTGATTTCTTCCATAGAATTAAGACCTTGGGCTGCTTGCTGTTTTTGGTTTCTGCTGGCTGTTGCTGTTCTTGTGGTCCTCCCTCTCAGTTTTACCCCTCCTGGTTATTTTCCCGTGAAGCTCTGCTTTGTTTCCTGTGCTTGGTTCTTCGGGTCCCTTGCTGGCTGGGTTTCCCATGAATTCTGGCTGGGTTTTCCGTGGCTTCTCTATTTTCTGTGCAAAATTTCTGTTGTCCCATTGGCTTCTTTAACTGGTTCCTTGGAGGGTTTTTATCTGCTGTATTGGATGTATCTTGGTCTTCCATATTCCCTAATATAGTGGATATTTAGCTTCTTTCTTTTCTTATAAATAGGAGATGTTTTGTATGATAAAAGAGGATGTGAAGATGCAATTTTTGGAAGCCAAAACCTGCGGGTTTGTTGTTTGGAAAAGCTTGCGAGCTTTGCCCAACTTCTCTTCTTCTTCCTTCTAGGAAAGCTTGCGAGCTTCTCCTCCTTCGTCTCGGCTCCTTACCTCTTTCTTCTATCTGCAAGTGCCACCCCACCTGTATCCTTCTTCTCAAGGCAAAGCAAGTTTAGGTGTTTAAGGTGTCTTTATGTCAAACGTTTGTAAGCGTTGTTTGTAAGTCCTTTTATAATATAAAAGTTGTATTTTGTCAAGTTTTTTAGTATTTTATGTTTTTTTATATCCTATGAAGTTTAGCTTTTGCTCGCAAAAATTTGAAAAAAATTTGGGGCCCTTCCCAAATTTTTGCTTGCATCAATTTTTTCTTGAACACAACAATAAGTAAGAGTATGTGGAGTGTGTGGAGAGGGAGAGCTTACAGGAGAACGAACCAAAGTGTGAATTGTGTTTATAATACATAAAAGTGCTCCAAGTGACATCCCACACAACTCTTCAATTGTATCTTATTGTTATTGTATCAATGAATATTGCTTTTTGTATTTTCAATTCCATGGCTAGCTAAATTCTTTGTTTTGGACTTGTGATGCGTGAAAAAACATAGTTTACCCATGTAGACTCTAGTTTCTTGCAAAGTTTAAGCATTTTTTCAATTGCTCCCTATAAAGACCCGTATCAATGAATAAGGCTTTTTGTATTTTTAATTCATAAGCAATACAACCTTAAAACATTAAATTTTATCCTTTTATTTGAAGAGCCACTAACAAAATTTCTCAAATACTGAACATTTGTAAAGATCATAAATTACCTATTTTCAATGTTATGTCGTCTTCTATAGACGAACTATTCCCTTTCTGTCATTTCTAAATATCTGAAGACTTACCTGAAACATTTATTTAATGGAATGAGTTTACAAAGTAAACTCAGTAGGTAATTATTGACAATTATAAAACAATAAAAATAGATATATCGATATAATACATACAACTTTTTATTTTACTATCAATCGATACACATATATCTTTTATGCATTAACATAAGTCCTTTTTTTGGTATTCATTCATAACTATCCATTTCTATTTTAACATTTCTTTTAATAGGTTTGACATTCAATTCCTTAGTATATCCATTTCCCCATTTATATTTATAGGAGCACCATCTAAATGTAGCAATTGAGGTACAACCATTTCCATTTCATTTCATTTTCTTTTTCCTTTTCCTTTTCTATTTTAACGTGCACGGGTACGTTGCTTCCCCAGCTAGTACCATACATGACATGAG